ACAGAATCAAGTTTACCAAAAAGCAAATAAATCATCTTGCTTTGGGGTTTCTTCTTTCATCTCTGATTTTTAAATAATCAGCACCATCTCCCCAGAGCAGATAAACAACACTTACAGGCAAATGAACTAGAGGAAGTTCTGAAATCCTTATAGAGGACTAACTCTCATTGGATTCTGATCCTAGTAAATTCTACTCACAGTGTTTATTTAAATTTACATTTAAAAAGAGAAAGAAGACTCTAGGGAAGTGGCCTTTATATGGGTTTTATTTGCTGATGCTATGATGATGCACAATGCCTCTTCACAAGATTGCATGGGTTAGAGGGTAATCCCACTATCACTCTTGCACTGACGAGAGCTCTATGTGAGTGCTGATGTCACATCTGGTCTCCAAACTAAGACCAAACTAAAATAATCCAAAAACTATGCAAAGAGTCACAGAAATAATGACTAAAAAGGCTAGAATGAAATAAGCAAAAGTGAAAGAAAATGTGATGAAAATTGGCGAAGAATTCTGAGAAGAAAACACCACGCATACAAACATAAGGCCAAATAAGTTCAAACATCAATAGTGTTATTTTTAATGATGCTACTGGGAACTAAGACAATGATGTTCATGATAGCTTGGTTTTTTTTGTTTCATTGCTTTTGAATACCCATAATTTTATGTCTTCTTTTCAAGTCACATGAATTATGTAAGTCAATGTGCCTAACCTCAGTAAATTGCTTCAACAAATCAGCTTATAGTCTCACAAAAAATGTGATCATACAAGAGATGAATCACTTGTCCCATTCAATATTTTAATAGTCACATTTCCTATTTCCTATATTTGTAATATTTTATATTTTCTATATAGATAATCTTACAATGCCAATCATGCTACAGAAGTTTATAATATAAATGAAAGGAAAAGATTAACACATGAAACAATAGCCAATTTTTAGTCAATACTATTGATGCTCTTAGTAAAATCTAGTGAGGACAGGTAGTCTTCCCTGCAGAGAAAATATGAAACAGCAATTTAAAATAAGCTCTCACATACATATTCAGATCTATTTTACAGATTAGGAAGCTTTTTTCTGAAATTGTTCAGATAGTAGATATTTTTAGCTTTGCTAGCCATCTCTGTTGCACCTTTTTAGCTTTGCTGCTGCAATGTGAAATAGCCATAGACAACATGTAAGAGCATGGTTGTGTGTGTTCCAATAAAACTTTGTTTATGAAAACAGCTGGAGGGCCATTGTGGACTGGGGAACATAACTTGACAATCCCCAGTCTAATTCACAATTTTGAGAAGTGATGAGTCCCATTTTCAATATGAAATAGAAAGCAAGAAAAGACTGAGGAAAGGTAGAATTTTTGTAGATACACCCTGAAATCCCAGAATATTAGAAACACTTATATTTAAATATAATTTTTTAAAAGTTTTTAATGTTCATTCATTTTTGAGAGAGAGAGAGACAGAGTGTGAGCAGGGGAGGGGCAGAGAGAGATAAGAATCAGAAACAGGCTCCAGACTCTGAGTTGTCAGCACAGAGCCTGATGCGGGGCTCAAACTCACAAACTGCAAGAGCATGACCTGAGCTTAAGTCAGCTGCTCAACCGACTGAGCCACCCAGGTGCCCCCAAATATAATTTCAAAAACATCTGATGGATGCTTTTATTGGCTATTGTTTTATATTATCCATGCAAATTCCTCCCACCATTTAAGAACAGATTCTTTAGAATCCACCAATTAGGCAAAACATTTCCTGTCACTGAATTTCCTTGGCAATTGAAATAACTTTGACAAACATCTATACAACAAATTTTGACAATTAAAAACTTACTTACATTTTAAAAACAAAAATAAAAGACATCTATCACTCAGATGTGCCCCAATTTTATACCTCTTTCCTGGAAATCCAAATATTTCAATACATTGGAAAGTAAAACAGAGGCAGCAGGTTGGGTAGCTCAGTCAGTTAAGTATCTGACTCTTAGTTTTGGCTCAGGTCATGATCTCACAGTTCATGGGCTTGAGCCCACATTGGCGCTGACAGTGTGGAGCCTGCTTGGGATTCTCTCTCTCTCTCTCTCTCTGCTCCTTCCCTGCTCCCTTTCTCTGTTTCTGTCTCAAAATAAATCAACAAACAAACTTAAAAAATAAAAATAAATAAATGAAAGAAAGAAAGAAGAAAGTAGAACAGGATAAAATTATCATTAAGTACAAGTATCCTTAAGCATCATGACCACTTCCATCATGTAATATATCACAAAACATTCAAAATTCTGAACAGAAAATGTTAGTAATTGTGACATGGTTCTCAATTATTCCAGTGATAAACCACTAATAAAAATGTCAGCTTTGGGGCGCCTGGGTGGCACAGTCGGTTAAGCGTCCAACTTCAGCCAGGTCACGATCTCGCGGTCCGTGAGTTCGAGCCCCGCGTCGGGCTCTGGGCTGATGGCTCAGAGCCTGGAGCCTGTTTCTGATTCTGTGTCTCCCTCTCTCTCTGCCCCTCCCCCATTCATGCTCTGTCTCTCTCTGTCCCAAAAAAATAAATAAACGTTAAAAAAAAAAAATTAAAAAAAAAATGTCAGCTTTATAAAATGTAACTGGTAAACACTAGCTAGCTATTTAAAAATCCAGCCTATTAAGACTTAACTTCTCTATTGTTTCCTATAGAAAAGTTATAAAAAGTGATCATGATCTAGTTTTCCCAAATGATAATAAAAAGTAATAAATAACGATTAATTATTATAGGCCAGGCAATATTTCAAGTACTATATATTTATTAAATCATTTAATACTCAATCCTATGTCATGCACATAGCATTATTATTCTCATTATACAATGAGGAGAAAACTGCCAGAGAAAGGTTATATAGCTTGCCCAAGGTCACACGTCTACTAAGTAGCAAAGACAGGATTTGAAAACCAAGTGTTCCAGGCTCCGAATGCAAATGAGGTCAAGGCCATGATTCAGGGTCTACACAGGAATGCTAGTCTACTGGCACAGCCAGTGTGCTCTACACTCTAGAAAAAGTCACCACTGGCAAAGATAATGAATCAAGAACTAAAGGTGAACATAGAGAAGTACAGGCCAAAAGTGACAGATGATGAGAGAGGGAACCTCCTGAAAGTTTATATCTGGGGAACCAAACTCATTTTTTCTACAAATGCTACAGGTCAATAATGCTCCTTGTAGACCTGCCAAACACATTTATTCCAGGCTTTGGAATCAGCTTAGCCTGTTTAAATTCTAAGTCCATACTACTTACCAGGTCATTTTTTGATTACTTATATAATTTATGAAATGCAGACTCCTGCTGTATAAAATAAAGATAATAATCAGAATTGTTATTCAGGAGTGTTATGAAAATTAAATAAGCTCATAAGGGCCTGATACATACTAGGTGCCCTCAAAATGTAACTGCTATTATTATTCAGGATTTTGTTTGTTTTTAATTACAGAAGTGGCAAATGGTGTTTATGTTAAAAGACACCAGACATCTGAATAAAAAGACAAAAATGTATCCAAACACTTAAATGGCTTGTCTATATAACTCTGAGTTTCTCAAAATTTACTGATTATCTCCTATATGCTAGAAATCACATTAAAAAAAAAAAACAGTTGTGATTAATCATAAAAACAACTCTCTAGAAGACTGACTGAATTTTTCACTTTCATCTGAACATATTACATGGATACTATTGTTATTTCAATATTTCAACTCATAGAACTACCTACCTTATCTGTGACTACAGTATGCTTTGATGATCCCTTCAGTCTTCTGCAAGCCTTACAGGGCCAGGAAGGCTCAACACCCTCTCTCACAACTCCATCTGCTTATTTCTAGTTTAAAGCAACCTCCTTCATCCATTTTCCCCAATGTGTCATATAGAAATATTAACCCTGGGGTGTCTGGGTGGCTCAGTAAATTAAGTGTCTACCTTTTGGTTTTGGCTCAGGTCATGATCTCATGGTTTTGTGGGTTAGAGCCCCTCTGCGCTGACAGTGTGGAGCCTGCTTGTGACTCTCTCTCTCCCTCTCTCTCTCTCTGCCCCTTCTCCACTTGCACTGTCTCTGTCTCTCTCAAAATAAACTTATTAAAAAAAGAAATATTATCATTTATCACTGTCTATATGTGCACCAAAGATAGAAAAGAACTGTATTACTGAATGCCATCTGATATATTTGTGATTAAATGAGGTGGTGACAAACATTTTAATGTAGCTAAATCATACACCACTAAAATTTTCAATATATTGTATTAATTATGTAACATTGGGCACAATCATAAAGAAGCAGATCATATTTCAATGAGCTTCTGTTAATTTAAAAGAGGAAAAAATAGAAAGACATACAAATGAACAAAAAAATAAATAAGGAGACCAACCATATTTATAGAAACAAAGTCTTTTTTTGTCATTTTCTCTTAACAGAACTGTCTGAATAGGCAGTTTTCCAAAGAATATGTGCAGATAACCAACAAGCACATGACAAGATGCTCAACATTACCAATCATCAAAACAATGCAAATCAAAATACACTGAGATATCACCCCAATGCTGTTAAAATGACTGTTATCAAAAAGACAATAAATAAGTGGTGGTGACGATATGGAGAAAAGGGAAACCTTGTGCACTGTTGGTGGGAAGGAAAACTGGTGTAGCCACAGTGGAACAGTATGGAAGTTCCTCAAAAAATTAAAAATGGAACTATAATACAATCAGCAATTTATGCAAAGAAAAAGAAAACACTAATTTGAAAAGATATATGCACCCCCATGCTGTGACATTATTTACAACATCCCAGACCAGGAAACAACCTAAGTGTCCATGCATAGATGATGAATCGGTAAAGAAAATGTGGTATGTATATAAAATGGAATCTTTTTCAGCCATAAAAAGGAATGAAATCTTGCCTTTTGCAACAACATGGATTGACCTCAGGGCATTATGCCAACTGAATTAAGTCAGACAGAAAAGATAAATGCCATATGATCTCACTAATATGTGGAATCTTAAAAAAAAAACAAGCTTATAAATACAGAAAATAGATTGCTGGTTGCCTAAGGTAAGGAGTGAGCAAAGTGAGTGAAGGGGGTTAAAAGGTACAAACTTCCAGTTATGAAATAAATAAGTCAGAGGGGTGTAATAAACAGCAAGGTGACTGTAGTAAATAATACAGTATTGCATACTACATCCACTAGGATAGTGGATCCTGAAAGCTCTCATCACAAGAATATAGAATTTTGTAGCTATGTAAGGTAACAGATGTTAACTAGACTTGTTGTGGTGACTGTTTTGCAATATATACAAATATCAAATCATTCCTTTCCACATCTGCAACTGACATAATGTGCCAATTACACCTCAATAAAAAGAAAATGAAGTGCATACTGTTCTTGTACTCTGTCCCCAAACTAACTTTAAAAAGAGGAAAAAAGCAAAATAATGTTAGAGCATCATACAATTGTGATGATTAAAATAATAAGAAATATAATTGTTATATTTAAGCACAGGTTGGAAATAATCTGTCAATATAAGAATAGCAAAGTCATAAATAAAGAATACCCCACAGACGAGATAAATAGGCAATATAAAGCCTCAGGTGGGTTAAAGTTAATGTGATTAGTTCTGGCACACAGCAAAATCCCGTAAGATAGAATTATCTTTCATCTGTTTTCAATTCATCCAGCTAGCGCTAAGCAGTTGTTATTCTTGTTACTCCATTTTTGTTATCCTGTTTTAGGTTCTGTTTTTACACTTAAACCAACCTATAACATATCTTTGTTACTGGAAAGCTTAAACAAAGTGCACTTGTCTAAGAAGTAGACAAAAATTTCAGCATACTTTATTAGGTGACCATAATTGATTAATGCTTTTAAACAGGTTATTTTTGATGTGGATTAAGCCACAAAACTATATCAAAATGACAGATTATGAGTTACAATGATAAAAATGTGGATTTATTATGTACAACCAGAATTTGTGTATATAAATTATTTGTTTTCCTCATGCAAGACTCCACACTGACCCCAATGGCACTGCTATTGTTTAAGCATTTTTAATAAAATAAATGAGAGTTTGTTAATATCAATCTCATCATCTAACAACGTTAGTTGCCTCTAAGTTCATAGTGTGCTGTGACTACCAAAAAAGTCCATTCAAACTTGGGCTATATTAATACCAGGACAAATTACAGGACACATAAGATAATGATTCCACTGTATTCTGTGGGACACATAGAATGCCATTGTACATGGCATTTTTTGAAAGAAATATTGGAAACATGTAAGTAAAAGAAAGACAGTGAACGAAAGACATGAAGCGCAAAAAGAAACAAACAAAACCTTTCATTCATTCATTCATTCATTTCAGCAACTTGCCAAGGGCAAGCTTGGTCTTCAGGTTGAATATTTTGGATGATCTTGTTTCAATGACTTATAAGGAAATTATTTACTTCGAAAATGTTATCGTCATATTTAAAAATCTAAAATCTTTAATTAAGCTCTCTCTCTCCAAATTTTGGTGTGAACCATGATTATTACTTCTAATAAACTCTCATTAATAGAATTTGTTTGGCATTTTTGTAGGTGCGTTGTGTGTGTGAGAGAGAGACAGAGATAACAAAGAGAAGAGAGATATTTTGCTGACTCAGAGAAATTATGAGATACCTTTGTAATGTCAGAGATTTTTCTATCTGAATAATTCAAATCACTGAGACTTTACCTTGAAAAAGTCCAGAGTACAAAGAGATTTATCATGTAAGGGCTACTTTCTTAGAAAGTCTTTTTTATAATGTCTGCTTTGTTAAAAAGTTGACCAGGTTTCTGGTCTTTGACAGAGCAACTGGGACAATCATGTGCTCAATGCAACTAGAATACATCTGAACTTTTTGGGGCGCCTGGGTGGCTCAGTCGGTTAAGTGTCCGACTTCAACTCAGGTCACAATCTCGCGGTCCGTGAGTTCGAGCCCCGCGTCGGGCTCTGGGCTGATGGCTCAGAGCCCGGAGCCTGTTTCACATTCTGTGTCTCCCTCTCTCTCTGCCCCTCCCCCGTTCATGCTCTGTCTCTCTCTGTCTCAAAAATAAATAAACGTTAAAAAAAATTTAAAAAAAAAGAATACATCTGAACTTTTTTAATAGTTTATCTATCTTCTCCTTCACACATCAACTTGCTGCAAAATGGGTAAAGAGAAGAAGCCTGGGCTGGAGAACCACATTTATAAAGACCTATTAACAAAAGTAAACATAAATGTTGAAAGTATTCAATCTGATTGTGACATGGAATATTGAGGAGGTATGGCAAGAGAGGAAGTTAGACATGTAACCAAAGACCAGAAAATAAAGGGCTTACAGGTCATGTTAAGGCAATTAGATTTATTCTGAAGTCAATAAAGAATACTTGAAATACCTGAAGGAGGACTATGATTTATGTTATAGTTAAGTCATTCCTCTATCCCAAGTGTGTAGAATGGATTTGGAAAGACTACAAGCAAAAAGAGACCAGTTAGGAAATGGTGGCATTACACATATGAAACCGGATGGTGGAGTCAACAAAAGTGTTTAAGATAGATGTGGAGATGGATGTCAACTTTGGAAACGGATATCAAGGCAAATATAAATATGAAAGCTATTAGGAAGTTAGAATTACCTAGACTTGTTAATTAACTAATTTTGAGAAATAAGGATAGTACAACACATCAGGTGGAGGCACAGAAAAAGAAATGGACTTGGGAAGGAAGAGAGGAAGATGGTCTCTAAGCAGCCTGCCATCCAACCTGTCAACCTTGGGCCTGGTTTATATTTAAATAAGTTTAAAAAGTTGGCAATCAAAAATATTTTTAAATATCACTTTGCATAAAAAAATATGCCTAAACCATTACTAGATGGAAAGTCTTATTTAAAAAACTTTTTTTTATTTTTAAATTTATTTTTGAGAGAGAGACACACACACAGCATGAATGGGGGAGGGACAGAGAGAAGGAGACACAGAATCTGAAGCAGGTTCCAGGCCCTGAGCTCTCAGCACAGAGCCCAACACGGGGCTGGAGCTCATGAACTGTAAGATCATAACCTGAGCCTAAGTCAAATGCTCAACCAACTGAGCCACCCAGGAGCCCTGGAAAGTCTTATTTTTAATTTTTTTTTAATGTTTATTTTTGACAGAGAGACAGAGCATGAGTGGGGGGAGGGGCAGAGAGAGAGGGAGACACAGAATCCGAAGCAGGCTCCAGGCTCTGAGCTGTCAGCACAGAGCCTGACGCAGGGCTTAAACTCACAGACCCAGAGATCATGACCTGAGCCGAAGTCAGATGCTCAACTGACTGAGCCACCCAGGCGCCCCTGGAAAGTCTTATTTTTAAAGACAAAACTTTAAATGATAGATCCAAAAGCAATTTGTTCATAGGTAGTTTATTGACATGCCAAACAGCATTAGTCTACAGAGTGTGTTTTAAAAATTTTTTGCCAAACTTTTAAAAATCAGGAAATTACACACATACACACACACACACACACACACACACACACACAGATTTTTAACTTCTCTATACAACTGGAAGATCTCACAACTGTGGGCCATCATACCCACTTAGCAAGCACTGGCTGAAGCTGGTTAATGACTACTTCCCCTAAATATGGCATTTACTCTCCAGTTTGTAGAGATTCCCCGAATTCCCCCACTTTCTCACCAGCATAGAGGGAGGCCTTGTGTTCGTTACAGATCACCTTCACATCCATTCACCTATTTTACTTATATGACTTCTACAGGCATTTGAGTTTTAGTTATTTTTTAAATGACATTCCAGTTTCAGGAAGAAATCAGCAAGAAACAGAAACATACTGGAAAGTTCTGAAAGAAACATGTAAAAGGATGTGAGCAAGATAACAGAATAATCTACTGTACCACCATTTAAAGAATAGGGGCACCTGGGTGGCTCAGTTGGTTAAGTGTCCAACAGCAGCTCAAGTCATGATCTTGCAGTTCATGAGTTCAAGCCCCGTGTCGGACTCTGTGCTGACAGCCTGCTTTGGATTGTATCTCCCTCTCTCTCTGCCCTTCCCCACTCATGATCTGTCTGTCTCTCAAAAATAAATAAACATTAAAAAAACCCAGACTAATCAGAAAGCATTTATGTAGCTTGGTGCCACGTATCACTTGTGTCAATCTGGCCTTATAACCGAATCAAATACTTTCTCTTCAAGAAAGAACAATTTGCAAATTTTCAACTTGAATTTAAAACATCTCAAAACTAATCAAGAGCAAAATCAACTATTCATTAGCTAAATATGTCACCTAGTTTTTCTTCAGGTAGAAGTTCTTAAAACTGATGAAGAAGAAAAAAACAATATCCAAGATAAAAGCAGAAACACTTGCCATGCTACATATAACCTTACCAGGAAAAGAAAATCCTAATATATGATCAACACTATTTTCAATGAAATCTAGCAAGCAAACATGATTTCAAGAATATGAAAAGGAACTGCTAGGATAATTGTTTGGGATGTACTACAATTAAAGATGAAAAATCATACTGATTTTTATGACAAAAGAATGTTTTATTGGCATAAATGAGGAGTTCCTTATGTAATATTTAATAATCAGTAGATGATAGGTAAATAGCAACAACTCCCCCCCCAAAAACAAAAATCCAAGTCTTAATTGGAATGTGAAAATTTGTTCATTTTCTCTAATAATATAGAAAACAAACCAAACACAAGAATCTTCAAGTTGAAAACAACTTCACATTACAATCAACACTGAAAATATACATATTTTACTATAGGAAAATCACATTGATTTCAAAAATAATTTTTGTGTGCTTGGGTGGCTCAGTCGGTTGTGTCTGACTTCAACTCAGGTCATGATCTCACAATTAGGGGGTTCAAGCCCATCAGCCTCTCTGCTGTCAGCACAGAGCCTGCTTGAGATCCTCTGTTCCCCTCTCTCTCTCTGCCCCTGCCCTATGCACACACTCGCTCAAAAATAAAGTTAAAATTAATTTTAAAAGTAACTATAGCAAGGGAGCTTTTCACAATTAATTCTTAGCTAATACTTTTTAAATATACTGTTAAAAAACCTAAGGAATAATTTAGAAACTGTAATACTACTGTCAAATATTAGGGTTTCAAATTCATTCATTTCTTGGTTTTTTTTCGATTTTCAAATTTTGTAATTTTTTTCAAATTTCAAAAAAAGTTACTATTTTTTCTGTGTATAACATTTATAAAAAACTTAAGTTTGAAATTCCTTCCCATTAAGCATAAAAACACGCTTTTCATAATTTCTTTCATCAAGTGAAAAATTAGTAGAAATTTAGCAATAACAGAATTGTATATCATAGGAGTTGTTCACAAACTGTACATACTCATGATTTAAAACAAAGGTAATATAAAAACAAACCACTCTTATTAGATGACAGTATACAGATCAATTTTAATCATCTTTGTTCGGTAATAACTTCATAGGAAGCCTTTCAAATTAATCCAAATGAGTTCTACTAAGATTATATTCGATGAAGTGGTTTTCCTAGGGCAACTATGAGAAATGAGCTGTTTGTTCCAGTCATTTCATAAAGGCTTGATGGGCCCTTTCAAAAACTCTTGGTTAGTAAAGTCGAATTACCAAGTTAAGACTGAAGTGTCTGCAAACAGAAGGTGAGCTACTGTGTCCTGATGTCAAAGTAGTAATTTCCTTTCCCCAGGAAGAAAATATAAGCATCTCAGGGTAGGTAATATTCCCTTTCATATATACAGCAGTGGAGCAAATGAGCAGATGCATAACTGATGTCTGAAAACACATTATTTTTAAAATATACTAATTGCTTATAACTAAGATTGCTATCTGAATACTGACAAGAAGCATGGGGTGGGGCAGGGTGGAGTGAAGTCGATATTTTAGAGGTACTTGTTCCTGGAATGTGACATTTACAAAGCTCCATTACAGAAAACAAAGGGAGACAGTACAGAGAGCATGATCACCAAAGTATCTTTTTGTCAGTATTGTAGATTAGTATGAAACCAATAATAAATGTCCTATGGTATTTTGGTAGCAAAAGACATACTTGGATCAACCTGCCCTCTTTTGTTAATGTTTTTATTTGAGTACAGTTGACACACAATGTTAATAAGTTTTAGGTGCACAATGTAGTGATTCAACTTCTCTATACATTATGTTGTGCTCACCACAAGTGTAGCTACCATCTTTCACAATAGGACAGCATTACAGTAACATTGACTATATTCCCGTGCTTTTCATTCCTGTGACTTATTCATTCCATAACTGGAAGCCTCTATCTCTCCTTCCCCTTTACCCATTTTGTTCATCACCCTATACCCCTACCTCAGGCAAACATCAGTTTGTTCTCTGTATTTATAGGTTTGTTCTTTTTCTGGTTTCTTTATTTGATAGATTCTACATGAGTGGAATTATATAATATTGGTCTTTCTCAGTCTCACTTATTTCACTTAGCATAATACCCTCTAGGTCCATCATGCTCTTGCAAATAGCACAATTCTTATCCTTTTTATGGCTGCGTAATACTCATGTCTGTGTGTGTGTGTGTGTGTGTGTGTGTGCACGCACGTGTACCACATCTTCTTTGTTTATCTATCAGTGGAAAGTGGTTGACTGTCCATACCTTGACTGTTGTAAATCATGCTGCTGCAACAAACATAGGGGTGCATGTATCTTTTCAAATTAGTGTTTTTGTTTTCTTTAGGTAAATATCCGGTAGTGGAACTACTGGATCATATGGTATTGACATTTTTAATGTTTTTAGAATCATCATAATGTTTTCCACACTGGCTATACCAATTTTTTTCCCACCAACAGTGATGAAGATTCCTTTTTCTCCCCATGCTTGCTAACACGTTATTTCCCGTGTGTTTTTACATTTTTTTTACTGTAGCCATTCTGACAGGTATATTTCATTGTGGTTTTGATTTGCATTACTTGATGATTAGTGATGTTGAGAATCTTTTTATGTGTCTGTTGGCCACCTGTATTTCTACTTTGGAAAAATGTCTATTCAGGTCTTCTACCCATTTTTAATTGGATTGTTTGGGGGTTTTTTAGTGTTAAGTTCTTTATATATTTTGGATATTAATCCCTTATTGCATATAGCACTTGGAAATATCTTCTCTCATTCAATAGAATGCCTTTGCATTTTGTTGATTTCCTTATCTGCTTCATTTCTGAAATCTCTTTAGAATACTGAGTTTGAATTCATTTGAAAACATTCTTTATAAGAAATTTCACAGGTGACTATTTTACGACCTCAACTAGATACTAATATTCTTGGATGTAGGTATCACACCACTCTTTCTTCTGATTAGCCTGATGGTACCTAGTGTAGCATTTTAAAAATGATGACACACAAATAATTCTTTGGGGAACAAAAATCAATAAAATAGTAACATTACTGAGTAAAAAAGCTGTACTGTTATTTTCCAAATTATATTTATTCTATTCAGGAATTGGTAATAAAATGTAATGTGGTCAATTAAAAAAATAAGAATATTTATATATTTTTGAAGAAACAATAAGAAATAAGATGATAGCTAACATAATCACTTATGAAAAAAGAGCCCTAAATTTGGAAGAGGATCAATGAATAATATATAGATAATTTAATCTATCCATGCATACAACTCATTTTCATTTCCCTAAAACAGATTCTTAAATAACTACTTAGTAACTAATTAATTCTAATAATAGTGAAACAAGTAAAAATGTAGATAATCCTCAATTAAACCCATGAGCATAAATGAATATATGTATTTCATATTAGATGTCTTGAATTAGAAACTCTATATATATATATACACACATATATATGTATGCATATATTTTTATGTATTGTAGATAACTTTCATATGGGTCTTCACATAATTAATTATTTTCTTATGAAACTTATACAAGACTATGATTAAGGCGGGAGCATCTAGAGTGCCACCACAGCTATCAAATCTCCTAGTAATAATATACATCTTCAATTTTAAAAAATTAAAATAGAAATAAATTGCATCATTTTATAAATTCAGTGAGATGAAAAATTCATTATCTCAACAGTGGGCACCAGAATTTAGAAAACAATAATTGATGATTCACTTTAGGTAAAGCAACCAAAGAGTCTAGTACATTCCAGTAAAACCAAAAAGACAGCTTAACCTTTTTGCACTAGAAGTGATCAAAACTTAAATATGGGCAGGGAGAGAGCCAAGAGCTGAGAAGCAGAGAAAGAGAAAAAGAAACATTAGCAAGACTAAAAATTAGGCAAAGACAGGGCACAGGGTTGAAAACAGGTAAAATAAAATTCTGATGTTGAGGTAACAGACGGACTTTTAAAAACAGGGATGTCTCATATTTTATGTGAAATTGTGTGTATTATGACATCACAATCCTGGCCTTCCAAACCCAAACACTTAATAAAATGTAACCTCATATGCCTTTTGTGAATGGACTCTGTAATGAAGTTGAGTCTCACATCTGGGACAACACAATAGGGAGTAAACTGAGGAAGCACAAAATGACAAGAGGATCTTTAAAACGAATCTATTCAATAAAAGCAGGAGCTCATAAAAACAATAGTGACAATATGAAACACATCTTTTACTCTACCCCTGCAAGGGATTTTGGACTTCACAGGACATGATATGGGGCTCCAGATAATCTTACCAATATATAAAAAAAAGATATATTCTAAGAAACATCAGAAATTAAATGAAGTTAGAAACATGCTAATTAAATAATTTTAAAACTAACTATAACTGAAGAACAGATTCATTTAAAAATAGATAAAATAATTAAGTTGGTGTGACATTGGTGACAAATAAATAAATAAATCTGTAACAGAATGAATAATCCAGAAACAGATGGACTTATATACAACATCAACATATCACTGGAATTCAAGCTTATCTTTTGACATTGTATGTCTTGTTCAAAAGAAATTCTAGGCTTCAACTTCAATAAAGATGAAGTAACAGAAACCAGACTTACCACTTCCACTTTAAACAAGAAAACCAAAATAAATATATGAAAACACTGTTTTCAGACATTAAACAACAGTAACATTGGACTGTTACTTCTAAGAGAAGAGAAACAAGAAAGATGAGTCTTATGATTGCCCCAGTTTGTTACTTGGAGGCAGTCTCCAAGAAGTATCATGGAAGGAAGAGGACAAATAGACCTTGGATGTCTCACTATGTTAAGGAAATAGACAGGAGTTTGGGAAGACCAGGCAGTTGAATTTGTAGGAAAGAATACCAAGGATACAGACACTGCACAGAGACAGCTCTAAACATCTGCATGGAGGTCCATTTCAGGAGTTAGGTGGCTACTGATTTGGCCTATGTGAGGAGAAATCACTGGAGACCAGGAAAAGACTCACTGGAAAACAGTAGAATGAACAATTGGCAGAGTTCACAGTATTTGGGAAAAAGATTTCCACCACTTAGGAGAGACATCAAAAAATACTGAGGGACATCCAGAGGAAACTCTAGAAAGTCTTGCCTTAGTAAAAGCATACAGAGGGGGGGAAAAGACATCCTTAACTCCAAAAGAATAAAGATGAGAATTATATCCAATTTCTCATCAGAAACTGAGAAACAAAAGACAATGGAGAATGCTTCAAAACACTGAAATAAAGAAAACAACACAAAAATAAAACCATCAATTCAGAAACCTACACTCAACAAAAACATTTTTCAGTAATTAAAGTGAAGAAATATTTTTTCAGACAAAAAATTGAGAGAATTCTTTGCCAGCCCATAAGAACCACAAAAAGAAGTCTTCACGTAGAAGTAAAATGATATAAATGGAAATTTTCATCTATGCAAAAGATGAAGAGTAATGAAAATGGTAAATACATGGGTAAATACAGAGCATACTGTTTCCCACTTTAATCATTTTTAAATAAATATTTATTCATCATTTATTTTCAGAGAGAGAGCACACAAGCAGGGGAAGGGCAGAGAGAGAATCCCAAGCAGGCTCCATGCTGTCAGCACAGAGCCCAACACGGAGCTCGATCCAATGACCATAAGATCACGATCTGAGCTGAAATCAAGAGTCAGATGATTAACTGACTGAGCCACCCAGGCACCCCCCATTTTAATCATTTTGAAAGATAATTAGGGGCGCCTGGGTGGCGCAGTCGGTTAAGCGTCCGACTTCAGCCAGGTCACGATCTCGCGGTCCGTGAGTTCGAGCCCCGCGTCGGGCTCTGGGCTGATGGCTCAGAGCCTGGAGCCTGTTTCCGATTCTGTGTCTCCCTCTCTCTCTGCCCCTCGCCCGTTCATGCTCTGTCTCTCTCTGTCCCAAAAATAAATAAATGTTGAAAAAAAAATTTTTTTGAAAGATAATCATATAAGAAAATAATAGTGAATTATTGTAAGTTCTTTAACATACAGAGAGGTAAAATTATAAAAGCAAGAAAACAAGAAGGTATGGGGAAATAAACAGTGTATTTTTTATTACTCTCACATTTACATGAGGCAGCATATTTGTTGGTGAGCTGAAAAGTTAGAAATAATGCAGACTTTGGGGTAACCAGTAAACAAATAAAAAGGTACAGATGGGAAAAAACAGTGAATACAAAATGGAATCATAAATTATATTCATTTTATCTAAAAAAAAGGGAAGGGGGAAAAGTAACAAAGAACAG